AAGAAAAGAACTAACGCTTGGTGCCGAAGTCTTTATGGAAGGGGATTCCCTTTCCAAACAATAGTGTACCTTCATCCTCTCCCCTCCTCCTTTCTTCCATCCACCCAGAAGTCTTCAATAAAGGTAAGTGTAATGTTTTTATTATTTTATATATGTATGTACTTGATTTCTCATTGTTTTCTGTATGTAAATCTTTATTTCACTTGGAAAAAATATATATTTTTTTAATATATTTGGGTGTCTGGAAGGGATTAATTGTATTTCCATCATTTCTTGTGGGGAAAATGATTTCGCCATTCATGAATTTCGACTTTCAGCAGACTCTCTGGAACGGATTAATCACAAAAAACGAGGGTCCACTGTACAATGGAAAAGGGAACAAGGAAGAATGTAAGAATTTGGGGAAGATAAGCCTGTTAAATATACCAGGTATAAAATATATGGTAAAATTATTAATGAAGAGGCTTAGGCAAGATAGAAATTTGAGGGTTGTCCAAGGAAGAGTTGGAGGGAGTTGGTAAAGGAAGTTCTGAATGCAAGAGACATCATAATCTGCACATGGAAAATTCTAGAAGGACTGGTTCCAAATCAGCACACACAAATCATTCCCTATGAGTAAGAGGCTTGGAAGGTTGGACAAAAATACCCCAATGAAAAGCAAGGATGCAACGAGTACACTGAAGGAAAACTCAGTAAGAGTGAAATGTTCAAGACTTCTTAACCCTTTCAGGGTCCGTCCCGTAGATCTATGGCTTTACGTTCAGGGTCCAAACCGTAGATCTACGCCAAAATTCTAGTGGCGCCAAATTTAGCGCGAGAAGGCTGGTAGGCCTACATCTGAGAGAATGGGTCTGGGTGGTCAGTGTGCACACTATAGAAAAAATCTGGACGCCCGCATGGCATTGTGGGAATGCCGGCAAAGTAGCTTTGTTCATGGTGCCTGGCGGCAAGGAAGCTCTAACTCCCCACTCACTCTCTGGGTGAATTCTGACTCTCCTCTTCACAACTTACAGTTCTAAGACTGATGGAAGTGGAGGTGAAGACAAATTCTATGGTTTTGAACCATATGGTACCATTGTGCCATATGGTACAATAGTACCATATGGTACCATTGTGCCATATGGTACAATAGTACCATATGGTACAAAGTTGCCATGTCATACAATGGTATATGGTACAATGGTATCATATGGTACAATGGTACCATATGGTACAATGCACCATATAGTACATTGTACCATATGGTACATTATACCATATAGTAAAGGGTACAGGGATCCTAATGGAAATAAGTCTGTCTGACCTTTTTGGGTTATCCTAGGTTCTCCAAACATATGCTGCTAAGTATGATATTCTATGTAACTTTGTGTATACCTAAATAAACTTACTTATGATGCCACATGCACTCGAGTAAGTTTATTCAGGTGTACAGAAATACAATTACATAGATTATCATACATAGCAGCATACGCATAAAATCCTAGGATAACCCAAAAAAGTCAGGGTGACTTATTTCCATAGGGATCCCTGTATCTGTGCCATATGGTGTCCTGTACTGTATGGTACCCTGTGCCATCTGGTACCCTGTACCATATGGTACCCTGCACCATATGTTACCCTGTACTGCATGGTACCCTATACCATATAGTACAATGTACCATATGGTACCCTGTAACATATGATACCATGTACCATATGGCCAATAGGTGTTGGTGGCATGAGACACCAGCCAAGACTGAGTGAGTGGCGACGCAAGCTAGCTACTGACTCCGCAGTTTCCGAGACAAAGTGGTTTGTCATCCACCTCAAGGAACATGTAAAGTTCCTGTACACTTGTAAACATATAATAGAACATTACTAATAAACAACATTTTTGCATATTTTTGTTGTAAACAACTATTGTAAACAAAATAATAATGAAAATATTATTGTGTTAAATAAAACAGTGCCATACAGTACCATATGGTACAATGAACCATATGGTATCATTGTACTGTATGGTACAATGTACCATATGGTACCATTGTACCATATGGTACCATTGTACCATATGGTACCATTCTACCAAATGGTACCATTGTATCATATGGTACCATTGTATCATATAGTACCATTGTATCATATGGTACCATTGTATCATATAGTACCATTGTATCATATAGTACCATTGTATCATGTGCCACTGTACCATATTGTACTATATGGTACCATATTGTACTATATGGTACCATTGTATCATATGGTGCCATTGCACCCTATGGCACCATTGTACTATATGGTACTATATGATACCGTTGTATTCAACACAATAACCGCACTAATATTTTCATCATTTTGTTTACAATAAACTTGTAAACAAGTTTTGTAAGCAATATAATGATAAACAAATTAGTGCAGTTATTGTGTTGAATACAATGAGTGTACACTTATACAATATACATTATACTGGTCTCACAGGCCACAAATGTTATTAGAAAAAGAAAAAAAATAGAAAAGAAAAAAGTATAAAAAACTTAAAATAAAAAAATGGGATTTTGCGGAAGTCACTGATGTTGCCGCCACTGGATCATTTTGGGTCAACTTCCCGCCACTGTATCTCGGTAAGTACTGATCAGATTTTTTTTTTGTTTTATTACCTTTACAAAAATATTATCTTTAATTCTGTAAGAAAATTTTTTTTTTTTTTTTTTCAAAATTTCTTGGACACTGGGGCACCACTTCAGATTTTGGCCTTGGACCCTGAAAGGATTAATGTTCTCCCTTTTTGCATAAGGGGGGGAAAAAAAAAAATGCTAAAACCAATAGCCTCATTGATGAGGTCATCCACTTTTAGGACTGGTCTGGGACTGGGCCGTGAGGGCATTGACCCTCAGAACACTCCAGGTAGGGGCATGTGTGAGCATGTTGAATAGGAGTGGAGGCAAGTTGACTTGAAATGCTGTTGGAGTGTAATCAAAATAACATTAATGAAGGGATTCAAGGAAATCTGTTAACTGGATTTGAGTCCTGAACGCTTAGGAAGTACAGTGCCTACACTCTGGAGGAGGGGTGGAGACGTTGCAGTTCAGAGGGCCATCTCAACTATGATGTCAGCATGTTTCTCAAGGCAGGATGATCCAAAGAAGAAAATGCATTCACTTCCATTCATTCTATCACTGTTTTGCCAGAAGGGTGTTGACATCAAAATTCAGATTATCCTCCAATATCTTCAATCTGCAATATGCCCACCCCTCCTTCAGAGTGCAGAATTCAAGCCTGGCTAACCTATGTTTCCTGAGTCTCTTTCATAAAAGTTACCTTGCTCCTACTCCAACAGAACTTCAAGTAAAAACCTCATGTCTTCTTTCACTCCTACCTCTTTCTCTGGCAGAGAAGGGGAGATAGGCGAGGAGAGTGAATAAAAAATATTACATAACATAAGAAGGGAGGATCACTGCAATAGGCCTATTGCAGAAGAAGAAGAGATAAAGAGAGGGAGACAAGATACAAATATGATCACAAATTACCATGTCTAGGACAACATATACTAAATACTAAAAAAAAAAAAAAAAAAAAAAAAAAAATGATGTAAATAACTGATTGTTAGAAAAAAACTTACCCCTCTGTAAGGCACAGTAGCAAAACCAAATGTTTTGTCCAAGAGGTGTGTGACAGGAAACATCATCAAGGGGTATGTGAAAAAGAGGGAGACACCCAAGCAGATCTTGACCATGGCTGCAAAGTCTACAGTTCCACTTCCATGAGGAAGATTCAGGGTGATGATATCCATTGTATCTGAAGAAAAAACAAGCAAGTTTACCAATATTCAACAGCAGTAACTATATTAATTTGTCTTATACACTGACTCAATGTACTAGCCAAGTTTTATTTATATGAATATTTCTTTAAGATATTTTCCCATTTGGCCCTGAATTTTGTGAATGTTACAGAAGCATTAGCTTGGCTCGTTCATGATAACTACTTCCATTAAACCTCAATGACTCTTGTACCTTATAACAAATAGAGGATACTTGTAGCCAATACTTGTTTTGTTCATTATAAACTTCAATATCTTTGCCTTTTACTCATTCTACAGTCTACTAAAGTTTCACTCTTAACAAAATACTATGCTACAAGGATAATTGGAAGAGATAATATTGTACTGGCCCTGTAACATAAACAGTCCTAAGGTATATTCTCACCAAGGCAATGTTACTTGTTGATACTGTTTGGTTTTAGGAAGCTCTCAAGTACAACCATATTTCCACACTCCCAAAATGGCTCACAAATATCCAGCTAGATGAGGGAATTATTTTTTTTTTAACACACCGACTATCTCCCAATGAGGCAGGGTGACCCGAAAAAGAAGAAAAGCTTTCAGAATGTTTTTTTTTTTTTTTTTTGCATTTAGTAATTTATACAGGAGAAGGGGTTACTAGCCCTTGCTTCTAGCATTTTAATTAAAGTCACTTCTTATGACACACATGGCTGATGGAGGAAGGATTCTTCTCTACTTCCCCATAGAGATAAGGGAGACCTACCTATCTTATGTGTGTAGAAGTGATTCCATGCTCATGACTTCATAAGCTCATATTGTTTTGATCTTTGTACTACGAGCAGACGACTTACCCGTGCTGGGGAGCTATGGTAATATAAAACATCTTCATATTAACTCTTCAGAAGCTACCAGGTAATGCTCCCTAACTGAATCTAATTTATTATTATCTCCACTGTACCACTATCTGGGCAAGATATAGGCCAATTTACATTATGTCTTATGTATCTTAAGCCCAGTTGTTAAAATTTTTGAAACATTCTCAGCATTAGATAAATCTTTTCCATTATGTATAAAAATACATGAAATTTTTTGCTATACAAGAGAGAAGGAATTTAAAAAACTACATATTTTTTCATAAACTCACGTGGTCCAAATGATGCATAGCCAGACACTCCAAAGCAGATGTAGAGCATTGTTAAACCTGTCATAGTGCAAACAAATGTAGAACGAAATTTATCACGCTTGTGCTCAGCCATCGATTCCTCCAGAGAAAGGATCATTCCTGCACCCTACAAGAGAAAAAAAAATAACAATCAGCCAAATTATATTGTGCTGCTACAATCCAAGCATTAGCTTTGTTTATAAATACATGAGCATTTCATAAGGAAGCTTGAGATATTTAGGAAGTAGCTGGAAAAAAAAATACAGCATCAGTTGTTGTTGCCTGGGAGAGTCAAATCTTATAAAAGCTCCACATTTACTTCAATTTCCAATCACAATTAAGGCACCACAAATGGTACAACACATGGAAACAAAATATTTTGCCAGGGTTGATGAACTGATTACATCATCTTTATCTCACTACTACTCCTGCTGCCTACACTCCATTCTTTATTTATTTATTTATTTATTATAAATTTGTGCACACATACAGAGGTACAAAAAAATACAGATAAGAGCAGTATGCCAAAGCCACTTATACTATGCATAGCATTACGGGCTGGCTTAAAATTAACTTAAGATTAACTAAGCAATGATGAAGTCAGTGATAAAACATTAATGTAAACAGATTACTATAAAGCACAAGTGAGTATTACAAAGACAGGTCATATGAAGGATTCTGTTAGGTAGTGTATTTAAAAAATAATAAAGTTAGATTGGGTTTTAGGTTTAACATTTATGTGATATAATTGTGAGAAACATTTAAGATATACAATTTATAAGGTTCAGTTATTCAGTATTTATTTGGTTTTGGGTGAGTAAGTGATCTTTGAGTAGAGACTTGAATTTATAAACAGGTAGTGTTTCTTTTATATTTACAGGTAATGAATTCCAGATTTTAGGGCCTTTTATGTGCATTGAGTTTTTGCATAGTGTGAGATGAACACGAGGAACATCAAAGAGTGATCTGTGCCTTGTGTTATGGTCATGTGTTCTGTTGAGGTTGGCAAGGAGATGTTTGAGGGGAGGGTTAATATCAGAGTTAAGTGTTCTATGTATGTAATAGGTGCAGTAATAAGTATGGATGTTTTGTATGGTGAGTAGGTTTAGTGTATTGAATATTGGTGGAGTGTGCTGCCTGTAGTGAGAATTTGTTATCATTCTAACTGCAGCCTTTTGTTGGGTAATTAGTGGTCTGAGATGGTTAACTGTTGTTGAGCCCCATGCACAAATTCCATAGGTGAGATAGGGGTAAATAAGAGAGTGATATAGGGCCAGGAGGGCTGACTGTGGAACATAGTACCGTATCTTCGATAGTATGCCTACAGTCTTGGAAATTTTCTTAGAAATTTGTTGTATATGTGTATGAAATTTGAGTCTATTATCAAGGTGGATTCCTAAGAATTTTCCCTCTGTTAGCTTTGTGATAGGTGATCCGTTTATCATTATGTTAAGAGGGACATCTGTAGCTCTGTTACCAAACTGAATTGAAGTAGGTTTTGTCAATGTTTAGTGTAAGTTTGTTAGTCCTCATCCAGGTAGATATTTTCTGTAATTCGGTATTTACAGTATTGGCTAGTGTGACTGGGCTCGGGTGAGAGAAGACGTATGTAGTGTCATCTGCAAATAGTGTGGGTTTGAGTAATTGCGAAGCATTTGGAAGGTCATTTATGTATAGGAGAAAGAGAAGAGGGCCAAGGACACTTCCCTGTGGGACACCAACTGTAATTGGTTGCGCAGAAGAGTTTGCCCCATTTGCGTACACATATTGGCTTCTGTTGCTGAGGTATGACTTGAGGTAATTGAGGGAGTGCCCTCTTATACCATAGTGTGACAATTTTACGTGGAGCAAGTCATGGTCAACTGTATCAAAAGCTTTACGTAAGTCAATGAAGATCCCCAGTGGGACTTCTTTTTTCTCTATTGCAGTGTATATATGTTCTAGCATGTGTATAATAGCATCATTAGTATTTTTATTAGGCCTGAATCCAAATTGGCAGGGGTTGAGTATGTTTTGGGAGATAAGGTAGGAGTAGATTCGTTTATGAATTAGTTTTTCAAAGATTTTTGAGAGAGGGTGTAAGTTGGATATTGGCCTATAGTTATTCAACTCTGTTTGGTCTCCTCCTTTGTGGATGGGGGTGACCCTTGCTATTTTGAGTACTGTAGGGAAGGTGGAGGATTCAATGGATTTGTTAAAGAGTGTTGCAATGATTGGAGATAGCACTTGTGACACTTTTTTATATATAAAGGGTGGTAAGGTACTTAAATCTCCTGCCTTGTTTTTTAGTGCATTGATAATAAGGGAGACTTCGTATGGGTTAGTCGGAGCTAGGAACAGTGTGTTCGGGTAGTTGCCGGTGAGGTAGTTATTTGGTGGGGTATCTGAGCTTGGGATTTTATGGGCAAGGTTTTGTCCTATAGTGGAGAAGAAATCATTGAGTCTGTTTGCTGTTTCTGTTGGTGGGAGTTGGGGTTCATCTGATTTTGCTAATTTTATTTCGCTATTTCGTGATATCTTTTTTGTTCCCAGAATTTCAGATAGTGTTTTCCAGGTCTTTTTATATCACCTCGTAAGTTGGATAATCTGTTCTCATAATACAATTTTTTTGCCCTTCTTATCAGGCTGGTTAGGATTGACGAGTAACGTTTTGTTTGGTCTCTGGTTATGTGACCCATTCTGTACTGTTTTTCATATTGGTGTTTTGTATTTATGGATTTGAGAATGCTGGGTGTTAGCCAGGGACTGTTCAGTCTCTTTGCTGTCATCTGTTTAGTTTTTTTAGGGCAGTGCTTGTTATAGAGGTATTGGGTCTTTTTTAGAAAATTATTAATACATTCGTCAATATCTGTATAGATTTCTAGCTCAGTGTGCCAATCAATGTTTGCTAATGCTGTTGCGAAGTTATTAATGGCTGCCTCATTGAGAAGTCTGAAGGTGACTTTAGTAGTGTCTTGGGGTAGTTTACCAAGAGTTGTTATGAGGAAAGTAGGGTAGTGGTCTGTGGTATTATCTGTAATTATGCCTGATTTTAAAGGGGATATGGTGTTGGTCCAGATGTGGTCAAGTAGGGAAACACTAGTCTCTGTAACTCTTGTAGGTTTTGTTACTGTTGGTAGTAACATACAGTTACTCATTGTGTTTGTGAATTCAGTAACGTGTGGGTCCTGGTCTTGCAGGAGATTTATATTGAAGTCACCTGAGAGTAGTAAGTGATCTTTGTTCATGCGTGCATCAGTTATCATACTTCCTAGATTTTGACTAAATTGGCTAATGTTTGACTGTGGAACTCTGTAGATGTTTATCAATGTGAGAGGTTTTTGTAGGTATTTGGATTTGAATTTAGCTATTATATATTCCCCATGTTCATCCCTTGTGCAAGTATTAGTGATACATTCTAGTTGGTCTGAGTAGTATATGGCTGTGCCACCCCCTTGTTGGTCTGGCCTACAGTTGTGTATGGCTGTGTAACCAGGAATGGCATAGACATCTGTACTATCAGGCTTTAGCCAGGTTTCAGTTAGTGTAATGATGGACATATTGGCATGTAAGGAATTTAGTAATGCTATGAGGTCATCGTAATGCTTGCTTAAAGATCTGATATTGTAGTTAAAGATAGTTATGTTGTTGTTGGCACTGAGAAGTGCCTTTGATTGTTCTGCAGTGTAGTAATTACAGTAACTGTTTGATTCATTTAAGTCATTAAATAAGAGGTTGGTATCAGGATCAATGCTTGTAATCATAAGATTTGTAGTGAATCTATAGTTAGAATTAAGTATAAAACAAAGTAAATAGTCTTAAGCTAAAAAATAGCACCTGAATTATTTAACAAATGTTTAAAAAAATGAGCTAAGGGACTAATACAAATAAAGTGATGATCGTATAATAGTGCTTGGGAATATGATAGTAGGTAGTACTATAAAGGTAATTTTTTAAAGTTATAATTATAGTTTAAAATTATAATAAAAAGGGACTAATATAGGTTGTGAATAAATGAGCTTTGGAATATAATGGTAAGATTGTGAGCTTATTCTACTTTAGCACCTGAGAATAGCACCTTGATTATTTTAACAGTTGTGGATATATAAACTAGGATAGTTATATAAAGCTAAAATAAAGGAGAAAATATAAAAGGGACTAAAATTAAGTAATGGTAAGCAAAGTTAAATGGACAGATGGTAGGAATTATAATATAAACTTATAATATAAAAATACAATTTGAAATGGTACTTGCAATTGCACTAGAGTCTGGTATGGGTTGTTGACAAGATCAAGGTTATAACTATAGATTTAAATTGACAAATAAAATTCACAATTAAAGTACCAAAAGAATAATAGTAAAAAATCACAATGGTAATGTCTTGGTTATAATATGATAGTAAGATGGTAGACAGGTACCCAGGTACACAGGTACAAAGGATAATACAAGGTTGGGGTTGAATATAAAAACTTGAAAATTTGGCAACAAAATGTTATGGGAAGTATAAAATAATGTTTAATGTACAAAAGTAAAATTGACTGGTAGTAAATATGGTGTTTAATAAAATTTTAGTAAGTAATAATGATTACAAAAAAGTGAAATAGTAATGTTTATTTATTCAATATTGCACTGGTAGTTATACTTGAGGTTATATGGCAGTACAAGGTAATTAAGAGTAATCTAGGATAGTAAATGTGGTATTAAAACAGGTAAAGGTAATTAGTCAAGTAATGGTTATTAAATGTCAAAAATGTTAAGAGTAAATTGAAATTTTAGTAAAAATGATATTTATTAATTTTAGTAAGTAATATCAATTGATAGTATTTAAAAAAATATGAGGTAGTAATATGGACAGAGAAAGTATCAATTCAGCTAATGTTCAAGCGAACAATAGTAAATAAGAAAATCACATAAGGTGATTTATGCTTACTAGTAAAATCACAAAATGAGGTAGTTGATTATTTAAATACTAAGAGATTGTACAATGAAATTTGAACAATAATGGAGCAAAACATACACTACACTACGTAGGCTTTTAGGTTGGACATTGTTTAGTTATTCTCTGTAAGATTAGTATCCCTGAGAAATCGTGATAGATCATTCTCGTTCGTGATTGTGTACAGTTGACCTACATTTGTTTTCCTAAC